AAATATGAAGAGGATAACCCGAGCGGCTAGGTCAACCTCTTTGGTGGGATCGATAAGTTTTTAGTCCTCAAAGGGTGTTGTAAAGGTGCAATGAGGACACAGGAGGGTTTTAAGGTTTCGTGAGAATCAAGTCGTTGTTTTGTATTGCATGAAACAGTTCTATTTATGATGTAAGGGGTATAATGTCCATGGGGATAAGGTGTGCAAAAATGTGCTGCGCTAAGCAAATCGTCGTGAGTCAAGACAAGGACGTTCTAGGCGCGCGCTAGCGCCTCGCGGAAGTGTAATCGAGATACGTCCGCTAATCAATTGCGGAATGCTGACAAGGGATTCTTTGCTTGCAAGGTGCGCTTTGCCTTACTCAGTAAGGGCGGGTAATGAGTTGCGATTTATACTTGAGGAGTTAGAATTTGGTAGTCGTTACCGGAAGGTGAATACCGAATTCACTTGCGGGTTAGTAATTTGGAATAGGATTCGAAATAGAGCGATGAAAGAGTGAAAGAGTGATAGAGTGAAGGAGTGGAGCTCTTCGAAGAGGACCTGTACCTTGGCTTCGCAGAGGCCTTTACTTCCGGTGACGTCTCTCCTACGTCCTGCCGGTTGCAATGAACTACACGTGAACACCTTCAAACCGGGGCGTGCCCTAGGGTTGGAGCTTCCTAAGATCCTCCCGCTGGTCCGGAATTCGCAGCGCCGTCGTTCTTCTCACTGTTGGCTCGTGGATGTCGAAGTACCGAAATGCACATCTGTTACTACAGTACGGTCAGCTCTTCAGAAAGCCCCAGCCACACAGTGTGGACTGACTTATCGCCTCAGACTAGCTCCTGAAACTGAACTCTTTAGACTGCTCGCTGCTCTTTTTCGGTGCCGTTTTTATACGAGATCTTATCTTTGAGATGCCCGTGAGGGCAGGGGCCAATTTCCTTGTTTTTGGATTTTGTTATTAGAAGCTTGATCGGACGTGTTCAGGGAGTCACTATGTTGACGGAAGAGTAGGTCCCGTGTTTTGGTCCAGAGTGCAGTTCAGTGCGGAAGTCGTGCGAATAAGCCAAAACATGCCGCGATGATTGCTCCACTCGTTGTTATTTTTCCAGTTTAATCAGATGATACTATCGTTGCTTTGGATTCAATATTTATCTTCTGGTAACTGACTCATACTTAATAGAATGCGTGCCTCTCTATTTTGAGGAAAATCGGGTAGCCGCGTAACAATAGACTGACTTTCGTACGGTTTTCATACAACGTATTGAAGCGTACCCTGCGGTACGAACACTAACCACACGAATGAGGCATTCCATTCAATTGTGATCTCTCAGTCACCGGTGGCGTTAGTGTGCATAAGTTATCGTTGGTACCTTTGGTTTTTTTACCGTAATATTTATCTCTGATCAGGTAGACGTTTCAGTATCGAAACTAGATCAGTACCACTTGAAACTTAAACTCCAGCGATCGAGTACTTATGTAAATTGTGACGAGGCAGAATTCTGCCGTCACAATTAAGAACGCAGCGGTGGCGGTGAGTACCGAATTTTGTCATTATTTAATTTCAGTATCGGCCGACGACACTTGGGATCATCTTGAGCGATCAGTAGATGTAAATATGTGTTGTAAAAATTCGTTAGTATAAGAATTGTTATTTAGTAAGTATCGTGTACGGTCTAATGTTCCGGATCATTATCACTGTCGGTACGAGTCGAGAAGTATAATTCGAGCATTTAACAACCGCGTAGCGATACTCTTCCTGACATTTAGCGTAATCGCTGTCAATTAGCGGCGCCTTATGGTTTCGGCTGCTCTTCGCGGAATCGGTGGAAGGGGTTGTCTGCAATTCGGTGATCCTGCCGATTCTCGGTGCTCATTGACCAGGATAATCCAAATGTCGCCGGTGATAACGATGGCCGCCTTTCTTCCGTGGCTGCTGACGCCCTGCTAACGTCCCGTAGTTAAATTGCTACTAACTTGGTGAGCAAACCCAATATGGGTTTCATTAAAGATTCGTTTCTGCTCGATTGTTAAGAAATTGTGACTTGTACCCTCTACGACACGCGACCCACCTCTCGCCCTTTTTCGTCACCGCGTGGCACTGTTTGATAGGACGCGATATATTAAACTGTCTTTGTACCGCTCCGTTCTAGTGCCGTGCAGAGCTCTTTTACCGCGTATACATACCGATTTCTTCTTGTCTTTCGTTAGTGTCTCCACCAGTTTATCGGTATTGACCTGCCTGGCCCGTAGGGGTCTGTGTATCGTGGGGGTTTGGGCGGCGTTAGGTTTGGGCACTGTGCTCCGTTTTTCACCCGGAATTCCGGGAAAGATCTTTCGGGAGAAGCCGGCGGCTCCTCCGAATCGTATCGGACCCATTCATTAGCAAATCTGCCGGTGGGGTCGAGAAATGTAATGGTCTCATACGTTGAATAAAAGAGTTTCCGTTAAGTACTGTTTAAATGTACTTTTCTTTTCTGTCCGTATCCCAAATCCGAAATCTTACCGTCACTCCATGCAATACGGGACCCCCATCTGTACCGTTACGCAAACGGCTGCTTAACTCCTTCCAGGGCTGAGTAGTCGGATGCCGAATTTTTTCGCGCTTTTCCGGAAGCCGGGCTGAAAATATCTTAACCGTAAGAATCGACGGGCTCGTGGTATGCCGAGGCATACCTGGAGCCTTAAATAAATTAAAGCGAGCCGTTCCTCTTATTCGAATTCCATCGTCCAGCCGAATTCGGAATTATCGCGAAAGAATTTCGCGGAGCACCTAATTTGCAGGGTATGGATGCGAGACACTAAATCCTGTCGCAATACAAATAACATAAAAATGTCCAACGACAGCAATCAGCAGTTGTTCGACATTAATTTTGGAACTCCGTGGATACTGAAATGGAAACACCTAATGTTCAGATAAAAGAATAATAATAAATTCAAAGACGATGAACACATACAAATAATCTAAAAATGTCAAACGACTGTAATCAGCAATTGTTCGACATTAATTTTGGAAGTCCGCAGATATTCTGTAAATGCATCGTAGATACTTTGGAACTCCGTAGAAATGGAAACACCTAATGTTCAGGTAAGAGAATGTTTTACAGAAAGGAGTGAAATCCCCTCAAAACACACCTTCGATGTACAAAAATGTAACCAAATACATTTATCTTTATTCAATTACTTGCACAAGTAGCTCAAATTGCTCGGTTCCCACGAAGATCTGAAATCTATTATTTCTGCCAAATATAGTAGAACATTCATTCCATTAAAGCCTCAGCTAAACTCTTTTTGCCCAATGTCCCAGTACATTTGGTTTCACGTATGTTGTATGTACAATATTTTCTGCTTTCTCAAACTTAAGACAAATAATAACAACTATATCGAAATAAATAAAAAAATTAGAAACTAAATTTAAGAACAATATTTTATTTGGCGAGCACGCGAGGTATATTCCTAGCATATGATCATTTTGGTGCTCGCCAAATAAAATGTTTTCAAATTTAGTTTCTAATTTTTTATTTGTTTCGGTATAGTTTTTAATATTTGTCTCCAGTCTGAAAAAGCAGAAAATCTTGTATATGCAACATACATGGAACTAAATGTACTGTGACATTTGGCAAAAAGAATTTAGCTGCAATTTGAATGGAATAAATGTTCCGCTATATTTGGAAAAAATAATTTATTTCAGCTTTTCATGGAAAGGGAGCAATTTGAGCAATTTTTGCAAATAAATTGAATAAAAGTAAATGTATTTGGCTAAATTTTGGTACACTGAAGGTGCAATTTGAAGGTAAGGTGTACTATAATTGTCCAGATTATACCATAATTTTGGCCCCACTGTTCTATAATTCATGGGCTTGGAGCTGTCAGCACTGCTTCGATCACCAGACCAAGCGAACCTCGTCTCCAAACAGTTTTTCTTAACCAAGTGAATTATCTTAATTGTCTCACCGAACTTCAGTAGACTTCCAGAACTTCCCGATTTGGCGCAGGGCTTCAGCCGAGGGACCAACGAGCGGCGGCGAATTATCTGCGTAACGTAAGTGCCCCGCCCCCCTGGTGGGTGCCCACTTTGACATGGTGCTTGACCAGGCTAAACTCACGCTCGGAGCCACCCGAAAGGGTCGAACCGAGCATGGCTGATAAAGAGGCACTCCTTAAGCCAATGTGTGAACAACTGTGCCGAAGGCTGCGTGGCGCAGGGGGAGCTGCGTCGAAAACGGTGTCTCCCAGACACCGGGCGAACTCTGGGAGTAAGTAGCCAAGGCCTGGGCAATCGCGGCTCTGCTGGGCTGACAACGCATCACCGCGGTACTCATGGGATTAAAAATGAACGAGATAGAAAAATTAAAACTAAATTTAAAAGAACAGACTCCACATAACGGGGCTCCTTCGAAGAACAAACGACCTGAGGAGAAAACGGTTACTGGGACTGCAAGGGCCAGAAACCGCATTTGCGAGGCTTAAAAGCGCCGCATAAAACAAGAACGAATGAGGGATCAGGCCATGATAGCCTAACCTTCGACCGATGAGAAAACAGAGAATGGGGGTGCCGAACGGCGGGCCGCCGAAATTATCACGAAGAACACATGATTCAAGGAAGACCCACGAAGGGGTGCCCGCAGGGGGGAGTACAATCACCCCTATTGTGGTGCATCGTGATGGACGATCTCCTATCGAAATTGCTACAGGCCGGTCTCCACGTCTTTGGCTATGCCGATGATGTAGCCATCATGGCAAGGGAAGACCACCTAGGCACATTGAGGGACATAGTTGCAGGCGCTCTAAAAATCACGGAAAATTGGTGCAAGGCGGTGGGACTGACGAACAACTCTGAAAGGACCGCTGCTTTGATCTTTACTAGGAAATACGAACCGGAACCCATCCATCTACTAAGGATGTAGGGAAAGAATATTGAATACGCCAGCTCAGTTAAATACTTAGGGGTCCACTTGGACTCTAAAGTGAATTGGAAAATCTATTTGGAAACCCAAAGGAAGAAATTGTACGCAACGATGTGGATGTACAAAAGAGCCATGGGCAAGATATGGGGTTTAAAACCCAAAGTCGCCCTGTGGGTCTACGAAGCGGTCCTCGTTCCGCGCGTGACGTACGCCGTAGTGATCTGGTGGCCCAGGGTGGAAAGGGTGGGGGCTCGGAACCTGCTGCGAAGCCTGCGGGGGGGCTTCCTGCGGACGGCGGCGGGGGCCATGAAGACCACCCTTACTGAGGCGCTGGAAGTGGCTCTCGGTCTTCTACCTCTGGACCTCCGGATCCTTGCACAAGCGAGGATCGCGGCGTACAGGCTCAAGTGTCAGGGGGAGTGGATGCCCACAGGCACGAGTCATACTGGGCTAAGGTTTCTAAACGGGCCCCTGTTCACAGCTACACAGGATCAAATCCCCCAAAAATATCAAATAGGTAAAGCATTTAGAATGATCATACCTACCAGGGAGAAATGGCAGAGGCCAAAATCCCCAATTGACCCTAAGGCAGAAGCCTGGTATACCGATGGATCAGGATTCAAGGGCAGCTACGGGGCTGGTATCTATGAGTCAAAGACGAACCATAGGGATAGTATCTTGATGGGAACGCATGCCACGATCTTCCAGGTTGAAATACTGGCAACAAGTAAGAGTGTCAGAAGTTTGCTTATGAAGAAAATAAACTATGGACACGTATACATCCGCACGGGCAGCCGAACTGTTATCGAAGCTCTTGCCAACGCCACCACGTCAGACGTGGTCTGGAAATGTATGCAAGACTTGGAAAACCTAGGGACCCGGACCAAGGTAACCATAATCTGGGTATCAGGGCACCAAGGAATACCAGGCAATAAGGTGGTGGATGATCTGGCCAAAAAGGGAGTCTTAAATACACCTTCGGGACAGGTTGTAGGGAACCCTTTGCAGAAGGAAAGCGAGAAATCAGGAACTCTCTAGAGCGAATCCACGAGAATCGCTGGAAAAACCCCACTAGCTTCCGGCAAGCAAGGAAGCTGATAAACAGGCCATCGACTAGGAGAACCAAGGAACTCCTGAAGATGAGCAGGGGAGGGGTGAGGCTAACCATAGGCTTCCTCACGGGGTATGCTGCCCTACGGGCACATATACATAAACTCGGATTAGTCGATGAGCCCGAATGTCGAGTGTGCGACGAGGACAGGGATAACAGCATACACATCTTGTGTAGCTGCCCTGTACTCGCCACCCGCAGATAAAGGGAGTTAGGAAAAGCATTTCTGGATCCCAGCGACCTGCAACACCTGAGGGTGGACAACCTTATAAGACTAGCGAATAAAGCAGGGCTGGGACTTGCGGACCGGCCTCAGTGAAGCAGCAGGAAGCTACAAAGGATCCTGAGATCTTGGTAGCATAGGGACATAAAACTCTAACCGCAGAAACTAACTTAACTTAAGGTGATGTGAAAGGCGATAAGCAACTCCGAATCCGGCCCCTGGGTCTGGGATGGTGTCGATAAAA